AGGTTAATTTGCATATTATCTCTTTATTATATAGAACTAGACGCCCAGTGCACGAAAATCATGCACGGGAGCGGGGTGGTGTCCCTCAGCCCAGCCTACATTCCAATCTGGGACCCCTCGAGGGATGTCCAGCTGCCTGGTGGGATCGGGCCTAAATGGGCAGTCGGACATCCCTCTCACAATCCAGGACTGCTGGCTCCCAACTGCTCACCTTCCTGCCTTCCTGATTGCCTCTAACCACTTCTGCCTGCCAGCCTGATCACCCCATAACCATTCCCCTGCCAGCCTGATGCCTAAATGCTCCCCTACCAGCCTGTTTGCCCCTAACAGGCCTCCCCTGCAGACCTGGTTACCCCTAACTGTCCTCCCCTGCAGGCCTGGTATCCCACCCCCAACTGTTCTCCCCTGCAGCCCTGGGTCCCTCCCAATTGCCCTTCTCTGCAAGCTTGGTCACCCCCAACTTCCCTCCTCTGCCAGCTTGCTCACCCCTAACTGTCCTCCCCTGCAGGCTTGATTGCCCCCAACTGCCCTCCTTGCAGGTCTGGTCCCTCTCAACTGCCCTCCCCTGCTGGCCATCTTGTTGTGGCCATCCTGTGTCCACATGGGGACAGCCATCTTTGACCACATGGGGTCAGCTATCTTGCATCTTGTGTGTTGGAGTGATGGTCAATCTGCATATTACTTTTTTATTAGATAGGGGATAGAGGCCTGGTGCATGGGTGAGGGTCAGCTGGTTTGCCCTGAAGGGTGTCCCAGATCAGGGTGGGGGATCCCTTGGGGCGTGGGGCCGCCTAGGCAAGGGGCCTGTGATGGTTTGCAGGCCGGCCATGCTCCCCAGCAATCCAAGCAGAGACCCTGGTATTTGGGGTTTATTTATCTTCTACAATTGAAACTTTGTAGCCTGGAGCAGAGCCAAGCCTTCTGCTTGCTCCTGGTGGCAGCCATTTGTGTTTGGATTTATATATCTTCTATAATTGAAACTTTGTAGCCTTGAGTGGAAGCCTAGGCATCAAGGACAGGCAGAAAGCTTGGCTTCCTTCATTGCTGGGAAATCCCAAGCCTCCCTCTTGTGCTCTGTGACCATAGCCATCTTGGTTGAGTTTATTTGCATATTCGCTCCTGATTGGCTTATGGGCATAGCTTGTGGTGGAGTGATGGTTAATTTGTATATTACTCTTTTATTAGATAGGATTACTGACTGTATTTGCTATGCTGTACTTTACAGTATGACTACCAGTTTGTATTTGTTAATCCCATTACTTTTTCACCCAGTCCTCTAACCCCATTCCCATCTGGCAACCCTCAATTTGTTCTCTATAACTGTTAGTTTATTACTGTTTAGTTTTTTCTTGAAATTCCACATATAAGTGAAATGATATGGTATCTGTCTTTCTCTGACTTATTTTACTTCACATAATATCCTCTAGGTCCATCCATGTCACATATAGTAAGAATTCATTCTTTTTTTATTAGCCGAGTAATATTCCATTGCATAACGTACCATTTTTTTTATCCACTTGTGTATTGATGGGCACTTTCATTGCTTCAATATCTTGCCTATTGTAAATAATGCAATGAACATAAGGGTATATATATATCTTTTCAAATTAGTGTTTTTCATTTCTTTGGATATATACCCAGAAGTGAATTTGCTGGGTTATTAGGGGTCCTATTTTTTAATTTATTTTTATTTTTATTGATTATGGTATCACATAATTGTCCTCATCCCCCCATTCCCATCCCAAACCCCTCCCTACATAGGTCCCCACTCCCCTGTTGTCCATGGCCACTGGCTAGGCCCATTTGCATGCACACAACTATTTTTAATTTTTTGAGCAACTTCCACACTTTTCCATAGCAACTGCACCATCTTGCAAACTGTGGGGCTTGTTTTAATACTACCAAACAGCCAGAAAAGTTTTACCTGTTTGCTCACACCCAACTTTCCTTTTAAAAAAGGCCATATATGACATGTATAAAGGGACACAAAGCCATTTTCCTCAAAGTGAATTAAGAGCTTATCCTTAGAATAATCAGTCCAGTAAACAAATATATAATTAATATCCTCACTTGTTTTAAATAGGGGAGAAAAATGCAGAAAGTTTAAGGAGCAGGAAGCTACTTGGACAATAGGGTAAATGTGGGGAAGATGCTGGAAACAGACTGGCTAACCGTTTGGCTGTGAAATGGGGGAAAGTGTGGTTATGGAGCACCGCTCTTTGTGTAACATGCCAACTGTTTCTTTAAAAAAGTAAACTCATCACCTTAAAGGAACTGCAGTCCCAGAGAATTCATTAAATGACAGGGCAGATCATAAATATTGTTTTTTCTGGTTTCTAAAGAGCCAATTTTGATTGAAGGTTTTCAAATACTTAGAGTTCAGTAATTATTTTCACCTTTTGACTATATTCCTCTATAAAAATATATTTATGCCAGTTTGTGGTATACTTATCGTAATACTGAGCCAGAATTAATAAGTGAGGGTATATTTATTGTAAAGCTCTTACATAATTCAAACTTAAACAAATGGTTTTTCTTAAGAAACAGGAAATTTTATCAATTTACAACTTAACAGAAAAGTAGCAAGCACACTGAAGTTATACAGTATTTCAAAGGTCTGCAATTAATTGGCAAATTCCTGTGTGGCCCCACTCCCATTTTGAAAACATTCTTGAATCATCTCTAGTGCAAAGCCCTACTTCATCTTTTAAGGACAGTTGACAGGTTTAGAAAATTCTTTAAAAAGTCTTACTAGTATATTAATTGTATGCTTTTAGTGCTAGTCTCCTGAGTCTGCTACTTTCACGGAATTTCTTCACTTATTAGTATTCTTAGGGACAATTAAAAATCTTGAATGCTTTTTTAACATAACTGTTAGAATCTTGCTTTAAAATTCAAGTTCCATGTACAGATGTCCTCATTCGTCTTTGCTATGGAACCAAAGTCTGTGGTGCACAGCTAACACATACTTGGCACAGAAGTTTGCTTGTTATCCCAGTGCAACTCTGTAAATCTGTACTGTTATTCTGAACAATTTCCCTAAGAAAGCAGTAAAAGTTGGCCTTAGCCAGTGGTAGCACCTAGAAAGAGATAATGCAAAGATCCGAGTTCTCCGTATGGAATTGAGTAAGGCTCTGCCGTTCATATACCAGTGCAGTTTCTCAAGCTATCTGTAGTCAAGGACTGGGTTTTTATTTTCAGACGATCATATAATGTCTAGGATATGAAAAAAAAAAAAAAAAAAAAAAGTGAATTCCTAGACAAATGAATTATAAAATGACACAAAATACAAACCCTATTTTTAAAAAATTAGATTCAATAGAATCAAAATGACTCCAACAAATTGCTTTCAAAGTTTCTGAATGCTTCCTATCAGTATCTGTACTTCTCTAAGGGCCAGTAACATGTGGCATCAGTAACACGATGCAGGCACTGGTCGGAAGACACACCAGCGTGGACAAAGCTTGAGAGTGCTTCCCGCTCAGTCAGTAGAACTAGGTTCAAGCGTGGCTCAGCGCTCACTGGGTAGCAATGGAAAGGTCACTCAAGCTTTCTAAGGCCCATTTACTCTTGTGGACCAAGTAAATAATATCCATGCTTAGGCTTTTTATGAGAACTCAGTGATCAGGTACTAACCCCTCAGGAAGCACTCAAATGTTAATAGAAACAGAATACGATTGGTACATTAAATACTAAAAACGGGTTTGTTTTTTTCTCTGATTCTTGCTTCGCCATCTAACTGGTGTTTTTTCCATGAATAGAGACAATGTGTTCAGCTCATCATCAGACACTTAAAGGACCCTATAACCTTGTTTAATGGCCCTAATTAGAAGAACAGCTACTTGGAGACCCCTGCCAAAACCTGTCCTCTTTTCTTTTCCTTTTCTTTAACATATTTTACTGATTTTTTACAGAGAGGAAGGGAGAGGGATAGAGAGCTAGGAACATCAATCAGCTGCCTCCTGCACGCCCTCCCGCCCCCGGGAGGATGTGCCTGCAACCAAGGTACACGCCCTTGACTGGAATCAAACCTGGGACCTTTCCGCAGGCTGACGCTCTATCCACTGAGCCAAACCGGTTTCTGCCAAAAACCTGTCCTCTTGATGTTTACCCTCTTTCTCTGAGCTGGCGGCTTCCGTGGGCAGAGGGAGGGCTACATGTGGCAGTGAAGGAGCCGGGGCACCTATCACCCAGGCACATCTGCAATCAGTAACGCCCATTCGTTTCAATGGACAAGATCAAGGGTGGCAGTTCATTCTTTGATTAATCTTTATAGCTACCATTTATTGTGACCTTACTATGCCAAACATACATGGGTTCAATTTTTACAACAGTCCTGACAGAGGAATCATTTTAGAGCTAAGGAAACTAAGGTTCGAAGGTAGTAAGTTGCCTATATCACACAATGCCAGTGACTAGCTAGTTCTAAACTACTAGCCAAACACTTGTGCTCTTTTTCATCTGGAACCACGGCCACTCTCCATATGGTGTCCAAATTAGTCTTCAGATGTAAGTGGACAGAACAAAATCAAACTAACAGAGCAGTTCCAAAAGCTGCAAGAGCTGTGAAGTCGGTCTATACCAAAGAATACTTAAGTGGAAAAGGGTAACTACATCCCAGAAGAAAATAGCTCCTACATTGAAAGTGTCACTGGGGCTAATTTTAAAATCTTGGAACACTGTATTCATGATTTTAAAATGTTGGGTCTAAAGAGCCTATGTAGCTGATATAAACTGTAATTCTCCATATTGATAAAGGGTCCATAGATTGAAGTCAAGATCATGTAATGTGCTCACTTTGGCCAACACTATTAAAAGAGTTTCAGCTTCTTTCAAAAAAAAATTCCTGAGATACTTTTATGCAGCAATTCTGCCCCTGTGCATTTTACCTTTCTGCCCCAAGGAAGAAAGGCCTTAAAAAAATACACAAATGGAAAACAACTCCATGAAAAAACTGATATGCTGCTGGTGGAAGGATACAAATCAGAGGAATAAAGATTTTATAAACCAGAGATTGTGTTGGTTCTGTTAGGTAAAGGGATTTCTTCATATGTTATCTGAATAAAAGGAAACTTCATAGGTAAAAACCAATATTCAAAATTATAAAACAAATAGAACTGTCTGTGTACAATCACTGCATCAAAAATTTTCAAGAGACTCAAGAGAAATTCTTTAGTTGACAAATGTGGTTTGAAGGGGTAATAAAACTTTTTTATGGCTAAAGCAAGAGTCTCATTTCCAGTTGGCCCAAAAACAGATGTTTCATTTCCCAAAAAGGTAGGTTCTCCACTGTAAAGAAATATTCTTGTGTAGTTTGTTTGTATCTTCTTGAACTCTGCTCCAAGTTCAGCCAACTTCTTATATGTCCTTAGCACGAATTTGGAACAGTCGTAGGATTCAAACCATATCTCTGCCCCTTTTTCTGGGCTGGCTTGGACAGTCCATGTCTCGTAATAAATCCCTGTTTCATTGTCCTGTTTGACCCACTGTGCCATTTTGTTAAACATGTTTCCTAGTGGGGAAAAAAATATCACTATGTGAATATCAAAATTAATCATGTTAGTGTTAAGCCAAATGTTCTAACCAGATTCAGGCTATAGATGTACATATATAAACAAGAGTTTTTTGAATTTCCAAACCTGTATCTCACAATAGGAATCCAAGCTCAGCCAGTTTTTATTCCATGTTCAAGGGACTAGATATTTCTTAATTGTGAACATTAGATGTGATGGGCTGTATAAAGATGAGTTTCACATATACTAATTTTATAGTCATTTAAGCTATAATCAAAAGCAAAACTATACACATACAGAAACTGTCTTTCTTTACCCCTCTCTCTCAACAAACCTTGTATTCAGAGGCAAAAGAGAAAAAGAAAGCAGGGGGACATTGTGTAAGAGGAAAGAGTGGAAGGGGTAAAGAGTACAAGGAGAGCTGAGGAGGGTGAAATGCGGAGCTCCCTCACAAAGCAGGGCATGCGTGCCGTCTGAACGGCTCCTGAGGAATAGCTAGAGAAGGCTGGCCTTCCAGCGTGAGAGAGGATGCACTTAGAGCCCACCCGCCTAGAACATTTGGTATTTCCCTGACTTCCTGCACTTGCAGCTGTTGAGATTCTGCTCGGAACCTTCCTACCCACCACAGAAATTCTCCCAATAAATCAACTAAAACTGAAAATGTTTTTGGCCAAGTGTAGACTATATGGACTCCTGGATGGCTAACTGTCTCTCCTACCACCTTGTACCAGAGCACAAGAGCTTCTTAACGGTAACAAAACACTGCACTCTGCATGTTTACAAGCATCTGGGCCCCAACATTTCACTCTGTCACTATGGATGCTTCTTAGATTACTCCAACTTGAGTCTGTAAAATAGTACTTCATGCTATATGATAAAATAGAATGTCTGTTTTATCAATTTTATAGAGTTAAAATTGTGGAGTAATATAAAACCTGTTTTCTTAAAACGGGAGATACTGTTCTTAGTGTTCTTCAACTTTGAAAAGCTGGTGCTGTAATTAGGAGATAAGCATGTTTTGAAACACTGTTTTGTAACATGAGAAAAGGCCAATGGATAGGATTAATCACAAAACAGATGGATAACTTAAAAGACTTAAGTAGTGGCATATTACAAAATATTTTCCAGGAAATAGTGATCTCTTGTTCACATGATCATATATTTATGTCAGGAGGAAGAATTTTCAGATGAGGTGGGAGGAAATGAGAAAGGAGAATGTGAACTGATCTAGAATGAAAGAAAGAGTAGCTATGTATTAGACCGAACAGTGTTAAAAAAGAAATGGACCTTTATATTATTGGGATGGTTTGTAGCAATTAGAAAGTAGAAAACAGCATAGTATATAGTTGAAAGCAAGATTAGAAAACAGTACAGCTTATAGTTAAAATATCCCCAGATGACATGTAAGAGACACCAATTCTATTCCTGGTTCTACATTAAGCTCTGTGACCTTAAAAGACAGGTAAGTCATGCCACCTGGCTGAACCTTAAGTCCTTATTTGCAAAAAGAGTAGCTTACCTCCCCACTGAACAATCCAAATGCTCTGTAAAGAGCTGTACAAGTGGAAAGCATGATAATTTCCTCAAGTCCTGTAGCTCATTAAATAATTCTTATAACAAACAGTGGTTTTGTTATTTCCACTTTTGTGGAGAACAACAATTTATAATGTAGAGTTCTATAACTGATAAGGGCAAGCTCCCTGCCTCTGAAAGCCTCATCCTCATTCTACACTCGAAGCAATGAGTCAACAAGATAAAATGTGACCAGTTTCCTATACAAGTTCTGCCGAACTCCTTTCTTTATCACTAACTAAATGCAACACATGTGCAGCAAAATTCCAACTGTTTCAGCAACTTTCAAATACATGCGAGAACAGAAAATCTCAGAGAGAAAATATTTAAATTTCTCAAGAGGCCTCGAATGTGTGAGATCATATGTTATAGGAGGCCATGTACAAAGTAGTTAAGAAAAGAGTTAATAACGCCGAGACCGGTTTGGCTCAATGGACAGAGCGTTGGCTTGGGGACTGAAGGGACCCGGGTTCGATTCCGGTCAAGGGCATGTACCTTGGTTGCGGGCATATCCCCAGTAGGGGGTGTGCAAGAGGCGGCTGATCGATGACTCTCTCTCATCGATGTTTCTAGCTTTCTATATCTCTCCCTTCCTCTCTGTACAAAATCAATAAAATATATTAAGAAAAAAAAAAAAAGAAAAAAAAAGAAAAGAGTTAATAAGGCTTGACTGCCAAGTTTGCAGTCCCATGTCCTTCGTTGTGGGACTTTTACCTCATTGTGACTCGATTTCCCTATCTGTAAAGTGGGGAAAATAATAGCAACTCTCTCAGGGGGATTCTGTGATTATAAATGCTGCGATATATGTAAAGTACTCAGAACATGAATGGTGGTTATTATTATTTTAATGTATCATCACTAAAAGCCTCTTCCCAGATACAGTTAACAGGTCCTTTAATGAATTATTTTTTTCAGGCATTTTATGTATTTCCCTCTATTATTTAAGAAGTCCAATTAAATTGTGCAAAGTGTTTTATCAGGTCATTTATTTTTACCATGGGAATAAAGGAGATAAGCTACTCATCACTTAAGAGTTGAAGTTTTGCATGAGTAATAGTTTGGGTCAAAGATTAGTGGTTCCAAAAGTACATTTTATAAATTGACCTCTATAAAGTAAGACATTACTGAAATGCCTCAATGAAAAAAACTTCTATCAGGTAGATATTGATGCAATCATTGAATAATGCCGCCTTTTTTTTTTTTTTTTAACTTACCTGATATGGTTGCTACCTGAACTAACGTCCCATTTTCCTTCCAGTGACCATCATCGATTCCTTCAAAAAAGCAGGCAGCTCCTTGGTTACACCAGAACGGGGCATTCATTTCAGGTCGGAGATGGGGAAATGTGCAGTTTCCAAGTTGGAAAAGTTCATACCATTCCATTGTGTAGTTCTTGCCAGTTAAAGTACTCTTGAATCCAATGGCATCGTGCATGATTTTCTGTGTAAAGATCACAAACAAGCATAAAGGTATTTGTGAAGCACCCACTGGTCCAGGAACCAGAGGGAGCAAATGTGACAGACACACCACAAATGCAAGTCAAGCAGAACAATTGTTCCTTCTTCCATGTTGCTCCTTCTTACAGCTTAGAATCAGTGTGAGAAGCCTGCATGCACAGCCTCGGTAAGGAACTCTGTACCTCACAGGGGATGAGTCACTCAAATGGTGAACTAACCCAGGAAAAGTACATTCAACAGGACCTGAAAATGAAGTGTTTCTGACTGCTCTGCCCCTTCCTCTGGGCCTCCTCCCTTCCTACTTTTCCAGGGGCTCGCTACAGGATTTGGTTTGGATTCAGAATATTAAAAGGGATGAGAGCAACTGCATTTGTTATTGTCAGGATCACAAAACCTGATAATGTTGGGGTTTTTTGATTACTCATTTTAAAAAAATATATTTTATTGATTTCAGAGAGGAAGGGAGAGAGAGAGAAAGATAGAAACATCAATGATAGAATTATTGACTGGCTGCCTCCTGCACACCCCCTACTGGGGATCAAGCTTGCAACCCAGGTATGTGCCCTGACTGGGCATCGAACCTTCACCTCCCAGTTCATAGGTCGATGCCCAACCACTCAGCCACGCTGGCCAGGCTTGACCACTCATTTTAAATATACTCAGAGCAAAAACAATAAATGTAATCTAAAATATTTCCTCAAATCCACTTAATTAAGACATTATTTAATTAACTAAATTTATAAGGTCGAGATACATCCTTACCAAGTGTCCCAGGAGGTCTCCATATTTAAATTCCCATACTGGGGCTTGTAACCGAAAGACTTCAATGACATCATCACCCTTCATAACTGGGACAGGGGAGCCCGTTGGACAGAAGGTGTATTTAGCTTGACAGTAAGGATCTGGTGCCGGCCGGAAGGAAAAGCGTCTAATAAAGAAAAAGAAAGCATCCACTTAGGATGCTGCTTCTTGCACATTTCAAAATCCAAATTTTAACTTCACTGTCAATAACATTTTTAGAGAAAACATTTAAGGCTGCGCCCATAGCATATAAATATACATTGTATTTATCCTGTAAAAAACTCCAATGACATCTGCAAAAGGTCTATTAAAGACACTGATAATAGCATGCTTCCCTGTTTCTTGCTCCCATGGGGAGAATTGTAAAGATGTGGACCATACCTTAAAGTGTTTATAGCTCTAGATCTTATCTAGTAGACATATATTTACTGAATAAAGGAACAGTTTTCAAATGAAGCTTAATTTCCCAAACAATCCATATGCTAAGTGCTAAGACTATTCAGAGATAATTATGATTAAACAGAATATGTTTACTATTTTCTTAAGAATTTACTAATAGTCAGGACCTATTATAGTATGGGACACTATACTAGGAAGGAGGGAAATAAAAATTATAACATCGTTCCCTTCCTCGAGGCGCTTTGGGTCGGGGCTTGGAAGACATTACACAATGAAGCGCAGTGTAGTAGGTGCTGGACCAAGTCCTATGGACACAAAGGGGAAGAAATCATTCTCACCTAGATGGGAGAGGTGGGAGTGAGGAGGTCACAGAGAGAGATGAAGATCTGGCCTAGGTTTTTAAGATACTTTCGAATATTAGGACAGAAAAGGAGAGAAAACACTAAGTGTTATAAGCACAACACACTGGAAGAGTCTCTCTCTGGTCGGGAATTAAGGCCCGCCTTTATGCTTCCAGGCAGGAGTGGTGAGAGGAGAGGGAGGCAGCCGAACCCGCTGAGTCCTACCACCGGGAGGGTGAGCCGAGGAGTCAGCATAAAGGATTTTAAGTAGCAGATCTGATATGACTGATTTTGCTTTAAAAAGACAAACCTTATTTTGATACCATAATCAATAAAAAAATTTTTAAAAGAGAAACCTTATTTTATAAATAAGAAGGTAGAGAGGCCAAATTAAGGCTGAGAGGTAAGTTTTAGGAGGTTACTTCAATAATGCAACAAGAAAAGAAAATGGCCTGAGGAGGCCATGGCGATAGGATGGCTCAGTATTTACTGGTCACCACCCATATTAGACACGGGGAGAAAAGGTGAAAGAGAAAGAAGCTACCTATACCTGTGCTCTAAGAATCCTAGATCCCTGAGGTTCCAGCTAGAGCTACTGTTTTACAATCCTAGCACATCAACAAAAATTCTTATTTTAATTGAAATCTAGGTGTTAGCCAAAAATAGTAACAACCCTGAGGAACATTTATCAGATTCAGGTATACTTACCTGTTTGATAGGTGCTTACCTGGTTTAAACAAATGTTTAATTATGTATGTTTCACCTGCTCACTGCCAAATCTATTTTACGTCTAAGGTAATTTAAGTTCACACTTAATAACTTTTCTTACATACAGGTGAGGTTATTAGGTAGCAACATATACTTTTTAAAAATATATTTTTATTGATTTCAGAGAAGAAGGGAGGAGAGATAGAAACATCAATGAGGAGAATCACTGATTGGCTGCCTCCTGCATGCCCCCTACTGGGGATCGAGCCTACAACCCAGGCATGTGTCCTTGACTGGGAATCGAACCCGGGACCCTTCCGTCTGCAGGCAGACACTCTATCCACTGAGCCAAACCAGCTAGGGCAGGTAGTGACATATACTTAATATCTGAAACTGTTAAACAAACCTAAGAAGTCGCACTCAATACCCTGCCCTTAAATCAAGTAGTTTTGCATTTACACTTTCCTCCTTTTTTTACCGAATATTTTATTTTTACTTCTTATGAACATTTTAACATTTCCCAGAACACCAGCACCAACCCCAAACTTCTCTTTGCATGTATATCAAGCAAAACAAGAACTGGCGAAAACCACTCAGTGAGCAAAATACACTAATATCCAGGTTGACGACAGCTGGCATTTACTAGAGTTAATCTTCCCAACATAACAAGGTAATGCAACTACTATCCCCACTTTCTGACGGAGGACACGTGGGCAGAGATACTGAACAACTTTCCCAAGATCACACAGCTGGTCACGATGGTGCTGGGTTTGATCAGCGGCAGCTGGAATCCAAAACTCACTCCCAACCACTAGGTTATCCTGCCGCCCAACTCACTATTTTGTCATCTAAAATAGCTGTTTTATATGTATATATAAAACTGTTATATATATATATATATATATATATATATATATATATATGATAGCTGGATAGATATAGATCTATATAGATATATAGATAGATATATAGATATAAATGTATATAGTATGATTTTTTATTTTTATTTTTTTCCCTTAGCTCCTAGAGGCTTCTCTTCTGTCCTTATACATTTGTCCATACATTTTAGAACCAGCAAAGGTGAGTTGAATTCTTTTTGCACTTAGAATCTCTCTAATTTCCCCTTCTGCTACATTTCTCATTGACTCTTTTTCCCTTCTGTTTTTTTTTAATTTTTATACAGTTTTTATTTCTTTTTTTTATATATAGTATGATTTTTTAAATTGATTCAGAAAGGAAGAGAGAGGGAGAGAGACCGAAACATCAATGATGAGAGAGATGGGGGAGATAAGAGATCAATCGAAGGACTTGTATGCATGCATATAAGCATAACCAATGGACGAAAAACTATGGGGAGGAGGACATATGGGAGTGGGGGGGTGGGGACTGATAAGGTATGTACACATATAATACCTTAATTTAAAAAAATGAGGGAGAAAAAAACAAAATAAAATAAAATAAAAAATGATGAGAGGGAATCCTTGACTGGCTGCCTCCTGCACCCCCACACTGGGGATGAGACCCGGCCTGCGCCCTGACCTGAGTGGAACCCTGATGCCCATGCTCAGCCACCGAGCCTCACCGGCTGGGCTAGTTTTTATGCGTTTTTCCAAGCTGCTGGCCTTTCCCGCGCCCCACGTGACACCATGTTTTCTTTCTCTGTTTCGCCACATGACAGCATCAGGCCAAGGAAATAATGCTCTTCTAGGTCAAAGGCTGCATCCGCCTCACGGCCGTGCAGCCTCCGCGCCGGCCCGGCGACCAGCAGACCAGCGCCCCACCTGCGGGCTTAGGACGCGCCGAGGACGCGCCCGGGGTGCCGCCCGGGGTGCCGCCCGGGCAGCGGGGGCCGACACCGGACACCAGTGCTGGGAGCGGGCAGCCCCCGCGGACCAAGGCGAGTTGAACTCTGCCAACGGTTACGCACTCACGACAACCAGTGAAGACATAACGTGATAAAGTGAAACTAAAAGTCTCCCCCTGTGCAGAGGTCTGAAAGGGACGCGACAAAATAGCTTTACTTCCCTCTTCTTCCCTAACCCAGGCCAGCCCTGGGTCTGCGCGCTCCCCACTGACTCAGTGTCCCCAAGGGACAGGCCTCAGGGCGGCACGCAACAGGCGGGCCCCTCCTGGCGCCCCACTTCCTTCCGCACGGCGCCCGGGGTGCCCGGCCCCGCCGCCCGGGGTCCCGCCGCCGCCCCGCGCGCGCGCCCGCCGCCCCGCGCGCGCCCGCCGCCCCGCGCGCGCCCGCCGCCCCGCGCGCGCTCACCTGTAGGGCACGGGCCACTGGCGCCGGGAGGGCGCGCCCGCGGCCGCCGCCTGCCCGAGCAGCGCCAGGGCCCAGAACCAAGGCGCGCGCCCCAGGGAGGCGCCCGCGCGCCGCTGCCGCCGGGGCCGCAGGCTGGTGTCCCCGGTCCGCGCCATGTGGGGCTCCCGGGCTCCCGGCGCCTCCGGAGCGAGCGCGGCGACTGGGGCGGGCCGCGAGCCGAGCATGCGCGGAGCCGCCCCCGGGGACTGTGACTTAGTCGCCGGCCTGCGCGGCCTGCCCTCTTCCCTCTCTGCCCTGTGCCCTCTGCCCTGTGCCCTCTGCCCTGGCCCAGGTCACCCGCGCAGGGAGCCTTCCTGAGCCTGGGGGCGGGTCTCCCCCGGCCCAGTCCCCCTTCCTCCCCAGTGTCCTGATGCTCCATCAGGTCTTGGGCTCTTTTCTTTCTAAACACACTGGGTGCTGGGGGCGAGGTGGGATTGGGGGGGGGGGGGGGGGATTGGATGTGTTGGGTCTTCTGTCCTAACTTCTCAGTTTAAAGATCACCTTTCCTTTGGAGCTTCTTCTGAACACTCCCACCCCCACCCCCACCAACCACCACCACCGTGAAAACCAAACCAGAGGAATAAGCAAATCCAGCTTTGGGTTCCTTTCTGCCCTGCCCCACACACAGGCCCTGACGACGTGAGGACAAACATTTGAGTGAAGGAGAATCTTGTTTGGGATGGTGGATGCAATGAGGAAGACAACCGTGGCGGGATGATGTGTCCTCACCTGACCTGATCGGTGATACAACAGGCAACACTAACAACATACAACAGGGGCGACCACTCCCAAGTGTGATAGACAGACAGACAGACATAAGCAGAGCAAGGAGAATGGGCCAGGTACAGAAGGTCATCAGGATGGGGCCATGGGTACATGGTAAACGGAAAATTTAAGAACAAGGGTCTCGTCCCAGGGTGGCTTTTCCTCCCCTGATATGTTGCTAATTTGCCCCTTTGGGGAGGATCAAGAGGACTGAGCCCCCGGGACAGTGAGGTTCTGGCCCCCATCAAATACATTTAGGCCTCAGTTGTGTTTCAGCTCCAGGCTCAGAGAAGCAGCAAAACCAGACAAGTAACTCCACAGCTGACCTCAGGGCCAGCTGCACTGACTCATGACCTGGTGCCGACCAATCAGGACACACCTGGCAAGCTGATGACTATTCTGTTGGATCATCCTCTGGACTCTCTCCTAAAATCACCTGTAAGAGCCCTTTGGACAGCCCACCCAGCATGGTCTCCCCTCCTCTCCCCTCCCCTCCCCTTGGTACATTAACTTTACCCTCTCCTCCTTTGCTCCAAGGGCCCTTCTTTTGCCTCTGTAACTTGTTTCCTGAGCCCATTTCTTCTACCACTCACTTCTTCTGCCTCTGTGACTTTCTAAATAAACGTTCTCTTACAGTTTGAGTCTTGGCTGTGAGCTCTTTCCTAGCCAGAGCTCAAGTACTGAGGTTGCTGAACCAAGATTTGATCTGACCCCATGGGTCTAACACCTGGTGCTGTTCTCGCAGCCGTCCACAAAAACTCCAATCTCCTCACTCATCTCCCCTCAGATGTTCTTCCTTGTTTGGCTCTACCTCTTCAATAAGATTCTATATTATCCTCTTTTCTTTGACACTTCAATCACCTCAAGAAAACAATAGATCAACTGCCCTGCTTTATTATACTTACCATGCTGTTATGCACAGATACTGGGTTGTGTCTATAAATAAAACATTATAGGTGTCACAGTCACTTGGCTTTCCAATGCCCTTGCTTCACTCTGAAAGGAGTTTCAGGGATAAAATGGGCAGCTTTAGAGAGTTTTAGGAATAAAGAGTTTTCTTCCACTACTGAAACAAAATTTTTAAAAAAATATATTTTATTGATTCTTTACAGAGAGGAAGGGAGAGATATAGAAAGAGAGCTAGAAACATCGATGAGAGAGAAACATCGACCAGCTGTCTCTTGCACACCCCCTACTGGGGATGTGCCTACAACTCAGGTACATGCCCTTGACCAGCCAGCATGCTCAACCACTGAGCCATGCTGGCTGGTCAACAATATATATATATATTTAAATATATTTTATTGATTTTTTTTACAGAGAAGAAGGGAGATAGAGAGTTGCCTCCTGCACGTTCCCTGTTGGGGATGTGCCTTGACCACAATCAAACCTGGGACCTCTCAGTCCGCAGGCTGACGCTCTATCTGCTGAGCCAAACCAGTTTCGGCAAGGGCAATAATATCTTGATGTTAACAAAATATTAACCATTTCCTCCCCCTGATCCAAAGGCTATGAGACAGGTATAGTTACCTGTTTTATAGGTGCATAAATATATCAACTATATACTAGTATAGTTCCTATTTTCAGATTTTTATTCACAGTTTCACTTACCTACAGCTGAATTTATTTTAGATAAAAATAACTTAAAGGATTACTTGTGAATTTAATTAAGTTAAAAGTTATAATATTCCTTTCAAGGAATTAGAGGGGCTACCTACTTAACATGTGATACTTTGAAACAAACAAACAACTCTGGAACTATAGTTAACATCTCACCCTAATCCTAAATCAAGTAATTTTGGCTTTACACTCTTTTGATTCCACTGTGATAATCTGGTCACTATTTAATGGGAAATGAGTAAAGGGGATACTAGATAATATAGACGTGCCATTTACACAGCTCTGCTAATTTAGCCCTTCTCCAAGTCTGTTCCCTACTGATCGGAGAGGGAAGGGACTGGGCAAAGGCAGTTTGGACACATGCCCAGGAAGGTCTGAGTGATGTGGGAAGGTGCCTCCTGTCTGTCAGTCACACCTGGGAGTGGCCACTGCAAGGGCTCGAAACCTAAATATATTTTTTTAATATATTTTATTGATTTTTTTACAAACTGGTTTCGGCTGGAAACCTAAATATTTAAACTTCTGAACAAAGGGAGATCCTACCTTCTTGCCTCTCTTGGCCTTTGGCCCTCAGGCCCTCTTGGGACTCTTTTTGTAAATATATATATATATTTTATTGACTTTTTATAGAGAGGAACAGAGAGGGATAGAGAGTTAGAAACATCGATGAGAGAGAATCATCGATCAGCTGCTTCCTGCACGCCCCCTACTGGGGATGTGCCTGCAACCAAGGTACATGCCCTTGACCGGAATCGAACCTGGGACCTTTCAGTCTGCAGGTCGACGCTCTATCCACTGAGCCAAACTGGTTTTAGCTTGCAGGGGGCTCATATGTCCCACAGCCCGAGCACCCCACACATAAAGGACTAAAGGACTGTAACCAGCCTGAATGCTAACTGGGACCCAGCTGCAACATGGAATGGTAGCTCTGGACACTGGCACTGCTTTGGGCTCTGCTGGAATCCCAGCTACACCTCTTTCAGGACTGGGTTAAGGGGACTTTACAACCAGAGGAATGTAACTCCACACCGATAAAGTCATCTACCACACCTCACTCCCCCGTGGGGGCTTCTGGAAATGCTCATTTCAGCAGTGCCCCAAGAACCCCGTTCCTACTCACATCTGGGAAATTCCTCCAGTGACACTTTTACTTGATTTTTTACAGAGAGGAAGGGAGAGAGATAATTAGAAACATCGATGTCTTTATAATTTTGTATGTATTTATTGAATGTACAGGGGTGGGCAAAAGTATATTTATGATTGCATTGTGACATTCTTTTGAGTTAATCAAGCTATTGTAATAATCAGAACCTGCATGTCTTTTTCTATACAAACAGCCGTAAACTTAATTTTACTCAACCCTGTATTTTTTAGTTTATTCTCAAGAAAACCATTTTTAGAATGAAAACTTATCTTTTCTCCATGTATATCAAATAAAAAGAAGTAATGTATACCATTCAGTAAGAGGAAATACATTAGTATAGAGGTTTCAACAAAACTGGCATTTACTATATTTAATCCTCCCCAACACCCTATGACAAAGGTGTTACTTTCTACTTTCTTCTTCTTCTTCTTTTTTTTAAAATATATTTTATTGATTTTGAACAGAGAGGAAGGGAGAGAGATAGAGAGCTAGAAACATAGATGAGAGAGAGTCATCAATCAGCTGCCTCTTGCATACCCCCTACTGGGGATCTGCCCGCAACCAAGGTACATGCCCTTGACCGGAATCGAACCCGGGATCCTTCAGTCCCCAAGCCGACACTCTATCCATTGAGCCAAACTGGTCCCAGCTACTTTCTTCTTCTTCCTCTGAACGAAGGGCTTCCTTCCCTTTATTTTGTAAGTATAGACTGTAGAAAGCACTTGGGAAGGCACTTGGGCATTTCTTTAAATTGTCAGCTGAATCCGGTGGCAGTTGGCAAATCCACACACTGGAAACACATTCTGCCAAAAGGCAGAAGTGTTGTCAGCTTGACCTCCATTTCTGCCCACGTGCCAAGGAGTGGGTTTGATTATGTAAATCCAGTCAAGCACCAGTGGGCTCACCCAAGAATGCAAATAATCTCCTTTGTCTTGACTTTTAGTAAAACTTCCTGGTATTTGGGGGTATAAAATAAAGATGCTGCATCAGCTCTGGGTCTGAAAGGGCAGAGCAAGGCTATAAGCAGAACTTCCCTTTTTGTTGAAGAGCCAGCCCTATGTGCACTTAGTGGTTATCTCGATGCTGGCCTTAAAAACAACACAGTTCTATTCAATTGAAAAATGCACCTGGCATGGCATTGAGATTATGGGCATATCTAGTCTCTGGCCTACAAGGTCATGTAGCTGAGTTTATCTTCAAACAGGCTAAAGCAGGCTAGAAAGCAAACACTTATTAAACAGCAGTTTTTTACAAAATAGTTCCAGTTGCCTAACCCACCCTTAAATCAGCCAATAGGAATGCAGAAGCTAACCAAATAAGCTAACCGCATCCAGCCACCTGTGTAACTGGACCCTGGCCCTCACCCCACCACCCAACCTTAAGCCCTATAAAGAAGCTGTACTTTCAGAACTTGGGGCTCTTTGCATCCTGCTGCTGCGTCAGTAGAGGCGGAGAGACCAGGCTTGAGCTTGAATAAAGGTTCTTTGCTTTTGCACCGGACTCGGCTCCCTGGTGGTCTTTGGGGATCTTGAAATCTGGGCATAACAGGTCCCTGTCTCTCCATCAAAGGACAGTGGTTACAGTATC